CTGTGTAGTTTGTTGTTATACGTTTGTGAATTTTCTAGTTGTTTTTATGGTTTTCCGGAGATGTTTGTATAGTGTGTTGTTATATGTTTGTGCATTTATTAGTTGTCTATATAGTTTTCCTGAAATGTCTGTGTAGTTTTCCGGAGATGCTATGGTCCACACATAAAGCTGCCAATGGTGTATTACTCTTGTTGATGCGTTCTTGAGAAGTTGGAGCAGTGACGTTCAGTTACGACATTTTCTGTCATGAGGAGGATAATCCTTGCCACCAAAAGAAAACAAATGTCTCAAGGAAATATGGTCAAAATCAATAGGAAGCTAAAAAAAGACATGATGATGAAGGATCAAAATCAGTAAATGAGTTCAAATGGTGGTGTATGTTTAGCTTTGAAAATGAGTTCAAATGGTGGTGTATGTTTAGCTTTGAAAATGAGTATTGTTGTGTTGTAATATTGGTAGCTGTTTATAATTAAAATATGTGATTCGTTACAGAAAACGTCTATGTGGTATATAAATGTTGGCTTCTTATATCTTTACCGATGTTAAATGTATTAAATTAGGCGGGTGAAATTTCATAAACAATACATGTCCAAGATGGTTGCTTGTGCAAAGAACAAGTCAATTGATTTTGATTTAATATTACCAATTTTGATTTTTAATATGCAGGTCATATTGTTTGTGTCTAGACAATATTTATGCTTGAGCACACAAGGATTTTTTTTTGTTACAATCAACTATTGTCTGGTCACAGACAATATAAATTACATACAAACAATGATTAAATATGCACATACAAACAATTATTTACTATGCACAGACAAAATAAATAATAATTCAACCACACATAGACAAAATAAATAATAATTCAATCACACACAAACAAAATAAATAAACACATAAACAATAATTATTGTTTGTACACAGACAAAACTTATATAGAAATTGTTAGTACACAGACAAAATTTGTATAAAAATTATTTATGTACAGTCAAAATTTAACTTGTATAAATATTATCTGTACACAAACACTAGGTCAAAGCTTATCTTTGCAAATACACTTAGAGTACTGATATGCGACTGTATAATTACATTTGTATCATTAACTATATGAGAAATTGAATACTAAATCACAAATATGGTAACTGAACGTCACTGCTCCAACTTCTCAAGAACGCATCAACAACAGTAATACACCATTGCCAGAACCATAGCATGCAATTTCTCTCTTTATGTCTGAGTTATAATTCTTCATGTGTTTCTTCTATTTGGCTATGGTCCAAATGCACCCCTAAAATGTTGTTCCTGCAGTTACTTTCAATAAAAGATGAAGATATCAGTTGGAGTACATACATAAAAAAACTCAGAAAAAGAATTTCAATTTTCTATGCAAAATGTAAAAAAAGCACAAACGTATAACAACAAACTACACAGACATTTCAGGAAAACTATATAGACAACTAATAAATGCACAAACATATAACAACACACTATACAAACATCTCCGGAAAACCATAAAAACAACTAGAAAATTCACAAACGTATAACAACAAACTACACAGACATTTCAGGAAAACTATATAGACAACTAAAAAATGGACAAACATATAAGAACACACTACACAGACATCTCTGAAAAATATTAACAACACTTAGTAGACTAGTATCTTAATAACAAACAAAGAATCATAATATTCAATTAAATAGTCAAAAACAGTTAAACCAAGATCAAACGCAAACACATTAACAAAAAAAAAAAGAGAAAAACACAAAAAAGTCATGGATATGAATGAAATATTTCATTGAAACATTTCAACAACACCTTATAGGAACAAACCCATCAAGCATACAAATATATTTTTAGAAAAAGAGAAAGAATACAAAAAAATCATGGTTATAAATAAAAGAGTTCATTTGAGCATTTCAACAAACATCTTAGAGGCATAAAAATGAAAAAGTATAGTTGAATAAAAATTGAATGGATGTGGAGTTGGAGAAGAATGAAAAAAAAAAAGAGGGAAAAAGAGAGGAGCTGTTGCAGAAGAATGAAAAGAAAATAAAGAAAGGGAGAAGGAGAGCTTACCGCATAGAAAGGGCAGGGAGAAAGCTTCCATCGCAGATGGCGTGTCCCAGGGACTCGGCCCGAATATATATCCTCCCTTGATTCCAGCCCAGGCCAAGTTCGTCGCCGCCGCCGCCATACGTCTTACTCGCTTCCTGCCGCTCATTGAGAGAGATAAGGGATGACAAACAAATGAAAAAAATAGGACAGACAATTTGTTATCTGCACAGGCATTTTCGTTTGGGAATAAAGGGGAGAGGAGAAAGGGAGTGGGGTGGATTAATTCAAAAGTGGGGTGGGTTAGAAAGAGGGGTGGGTCTTTTTATGATGTGTAGGGTGGTGTGTACAATGCTGTGTACACATAGCATTTTCCAAACATTTAAAAATTTAGAATCCTCCAATACTGCATTGTCAGAGTAGTATATTATGTATCAAACTTATTCATGCATCATCTTATCAGAAAATTTGCTTGTACTATTTCCAGTCATTGTGATTAATCTAAATATTAAATTGATGTATTATGTTAATTCATATGGTAAGAAATTATCATACAAGTATTTGATATTAATTTAGAGCGTTATAATCTCCTTTAAGTTAAGAGAGTTCAACCAATCTTCATAGTATATTTTTTATATTAGACTATTAGTAAACGAAGTATAATGATATCTTGTCAATCTTTTTTAGCTTTATAGTATCCAATTATCCATTTTAAAATTGTGAATGCCAATAAGTCGTAATCCTTTTAACATTGTTTATGTTTTCTTAAATGATTCTCATCTTAACAAGTTAGTATGATGATTCACATTATATTATTCCTTTACCATCAATATAACTTTTGCTAGTTTCAACACTAGCTTCATGGTACATTTTTTAATGCAATCATAACGTTCATTCCAAGTAATTTTAACATTTTCGCATGACTAAGAATCCATTTGGTGACATTGTTTTTCAACCTATCACCATTTTCACTATATTTCCTCTGTTCGGAAAAGAATGCAACACACAAACGGGCACAAAGATTAAGAACTCTTTTCTTACCCTCCCTTTTCTGAACGCTTATCTGACAAATGCTGGTGCCGGCTCTTTCCATCAATTTCCCAAATTTTTCATCACCATTAATTCGTTGTAAAATCCTCCCTGTGTTGCTTACCTTCTTCGTCGTCTTTAATTATTTTACTTTCAATTTTTGAATTCTTAAATTCCACAATCTAGATTATTAACTCCCTAAAAAGTACTGTAGCTATGACTTTTTAAGATCCTTAAAAGAAGTGAGCCATGTTGTCAAGGTTTTTAGAGTGGATCTCCAAAGAAAGCAAAGAGATGAAAGGGAAAAGGTCCAAAAATGACACCGAGGTTTTTCATGAAGTTCAAATTGGATACTAAAGTTTTAAGTAGACCAAATAAACACAAATTTAAACTTTTTGGTTCCATTTCAGCCACCCTTTTAACATCTCTGTTAAATGATCTTTCCTGTCGTTAGTGCCATCTCGATTAAAAAACACAGCCCCAATGAAAACAAAGTTCATGTGAGTAGATCCAGTCTTTGGCTAAATAGGGACGGTAGATGTTTAACACTTTCACCAGTAGACACTCCATTAGTTAAATTTAAAAATTAAACTTTGCTTTAGGCTGGAAAGAAAAAGAACAAAAACTTTAAGTTTGAAGGATATGGTCAAACGGAAGAGTCACAGAGGGTCAATTTGCACCAATGATTTGCATCGGCTTGCTGGGAACGACACCAGCAATCGCTACAATGGTGCAACCAATTACAAAGTGGCATGGACGATTGGAACAAAGGCGTTGGAGATGATTTCTGGAAACATTATTTTTTTTTTTTGCGAGGAACATCAATTTCTTAGTAACAGTGAATCTCGGATGTCTTGAAATAAATCGCGGACCCAAGGTCTTCTGGTCATGAAATTTAGAGTTGGCAGGGTTTCCTGAGAGCATGTGGTGGTCTGGGCAGGTCGGGATTGAGACACCAGATAAAGGGGTTTTCGGATTCTGGTCTTGCTTAGCGGCATCCAAAGGAACAATATAACGGAGCAGTTAAGAGTGGCTGAAATGGAACCAAAAAGATTAAATTTGTGTTTTTTTGGTCTACTTAAAACTTTAGTGTCCAATCTGAACTTTGTTAAAAATTTTGATGTCATTTTTGGTCTTTTCCCGAGAGGAAAAGAAAGAAGGTAGTGGAGAAAAGAAACGAAAGAAGAGAGATGAGTGAAAAAAAAAACAGTGAGACCGAGAGATACGAAAATCACGAAGGGTGATGGGGTAAGGGAAGAAACGAAAAACCGGAAGAAAAAAGAAGATGAACACATGGGTGTTGATTGTTGAGCAGGGCATATAGCGTATGGTGACCCGTGAAATGACAATAGTTGGTGAGAGAGTGAGGATATTGGTTTGCGGTGAAAGGGTATTATAGTCACTGTCTACATAGGAGTGATATAGCAAGTAATTCTTATAAATAATCTCAACTTTTAATTTTTACATTCAACTTCTATTTAAAATTCACTTTTATAGGAGGTAATATCTGACCATGGATCATTATTAGCGGACGATCCATATAGTTGGGATTATACAAAAATAATCAATAGTTGAGATTATTATCAGTGGCCCGGCAATAGTTGGAATTATTATTTTCAATTTTTCCTTAATATTACCATAAATGGTAGTGTTGCAATTGTTTTGAAACTGACAAAAGAGGAATGTGTTGCATTTAATTAAGAACGGATGAAGTATACTTTTGTTTCCACGCACTGAATTGTGTAATAATCAAAATAAAATAAGTAAGATTAAAGTTATTCTTTTGACCGGATTGATTGAAGTTACTATAAGTGATCATTTTAGCTATTTTTTCATATACATGTTTCTTTATTTTATTAATAAAATATATTTTAAATATAATTTTATTCATAAATCAACAAAATCAATCAATCTAGCCACTTAATAAATTCAGACAATTTCAATGAGACAATTTCAATGTTACAAAAAGGGCTCTAGCCACTTCATACTTCGTATATGGGTAGTGAGTGACAACCTGACAAGAAATTTATATATATAGTGCAAATTCTGACAGGAAAATTACGTAGTTCAAATAAAGAAAAGATGGCTTTCCACCATGTCGTATCTAAGTAAAGAGTCTCCCAGCATAAACTTTTGGCTAACATGAAGTAAAGTTAACCGTGAGCCTCAAGAAACTTGAAACTTAACATACAGGAACATCAAGGATTATTGCAGGTATATTATTATTTTATTTTACTATTAATATCTATCTCTGCTCCAAATTTTGGCAATCCTAATGCTGCAAAACAGGGAAGTATAAGCTGAAAACTGCAAGGAAGGAGGAACTATCAAACAGGGTCTGAATGATTGGCTAGATTTGGCTGGAGTCCCTCCCGAAAATGAATCGCCTCATCCAGTCTGACACCACCAATGCCCTTGTACGCCAACTCACTTGTTTGCTAGCATACACCGAATACCACAACCATTGTGAACTGCGACCAATTGAAACCCAATCCCATGGCAATTGTGCTGCTGTTTGCTCTCCTCCTAGTGGTGCAAATTGTCCAAAATGCTTGTACCTTCCAACCCAACCAAGCACCACCACATTACGTCATCATAATTATTAAACTACATGGTTAAAAATATTTACCTACCCTAAAGTTTGGTCATATTACCAGTAACCAGTTCAACCTTAGGTTGTCAATAAAAATACCAATATACACCCTTTTGAGGAGTATATGTATTTTCACAAATGACACTTAGTACCCAAAAATATCATTACATTCTACACCAAACATAACCTAAAGACACAAGCACACTTACCTAAAAGGACGGAAACGGTGACGTCCTTCGCCTCTAAATCGAATAGGACCCTCTGGATTCTTCTCGCACATCTCCATGCGGTTAAAGCAATTAGCAAGGTACACACCTTGTTGAGATGCAACCTACAAAAAAGGCATCACTAACAATGTCAAGAAAATTTTCAAAATGGTTTGTCTCTGAACTAACTACTATATGATCAATTTATTTTCTCTGTACAAACAAACCTGAGCTGTGGCAGGAAGATTCTTCATCTGAGAATCTACTTTGGAGAGGGCTGCTTTAAATTCTTCAATGTCAATTTCAATAGATTCTTTAACATCACCACCTTTTCCTTCCCTCATCAAATCAACCAGACCACTCATCCGATTGTTCTTCAAGTAGAGCTCCATTTGTGGGTACCTTTCACATATATCATTGAGCACCTCTTGAAATTCTTTTACGGTTAGTGTCCCAGAGTTGTCTTTGTCTGCCTTTTGAAATATAGCCGCAATATCCTCCTGGAAAATAAACCATTATTTACACTGATAAAACTCTTCCTAAATTTGGTATGTGACAACTGTACACAAATTCATTATTGTTCAATAAATGGCAAATGACACCATTGGCATTGGTCCATTAGGTATTCATTGCTTCAGTTGTAAAAAGGAAACAATATTATTATTCATTTTGATTTTCAAATAAATGGAATACACACCATAACTTTACGTTGATTAATTGTGGCAGTGTCCCCAATTGCATATATGGTATCACACCCTTCAACTCTCAGCCACTCATCAGTTGCTAAAACACGTCTTTGTCCCTGTGTAGCAGGTGAATTTGTCAGATTAAATAGTTTCATCGAATCTAACATAAGAAAGCACCCTCGGGAAGTTTAACTGCTACCATTGGTTTGGATAGAATAATATTGATATATATAAATAACACACAAATATATACACCTGACCAATTTCCTTCATAAAATCCAATACTACAGGACGACTCCCAATTCCAGTTGACCAAACAATCATTCCATAAGGTGTAGAAGTTACGTCTCCACGTTTAGCATCTTTTGTAGATATTTCCTTATCTGACACTTTCACAACCATAGATCCTGTTTTCACATCAATTCCATCCCTCCCAAACTTGTCTTCAGCAAAAGCTGTGATTCTCTTGTCAAACCTATAAGACCAATAGTAAAAGTGACGAAGTGTACAAGACAAAAAAATAAATCCAGTTGCCAAATATGTAAGGTTTGGCAGAAGTAGAAATATAGCATAGTGATTGAAGGACCGTGTTGAACAAGGAGGCATAAGATAGCCTAGTGCCTGTAACATTGATGTCAGTTTGAATTTTTGGTAACCTTAAGGAAGGTAGTTCTGTACAGCTCTTCCTTAACACAAGTTTTCCTACCGCATGACTTAATACCAATTTATTAAATGAATGACAAAACATCAAGAAATACACCCAATATAGATATAACACTCATAAGAATGAAAAAGAGCAACTGATACTACTAGCTTAGGCTCTTTTTATTTGTGCAGCTTGACCCCAATACTAAAATTGAACTGCAGGACCCACATCTCTTTTATCAAGAAATTTACACTAGTGAGTGAAGGTGCATCACTTGCAATTGCCTATTAGATGTATGATCGACTAATACTACAAAGTTACCAATAAATTCTCACATATTCAATATATGATCTGTTGCTTCAACCAGTGTAATCTTCACAAAATCCTTGACCTTGGGATATAACCTTACAACATCTTCACTAACAAAATCATGGAGTTGTGCTGCAAATTCCACACCTGTTGGGCCACCACCAACAATAACAAAGTGAAGAATCTTTTTCCTCTCTTCATCAGTAAGGTTAGGCAGACTCGCTCTCTCAAAGCAGTCAATTACAGCCCTCCGGATTCTCTGAGCATCCTCCACTTCCTGCACAATTTCTAGCCATTTTTAAATTATAGAACAGATGTGCCTAAATTTTCTTGATCAGAGAGATTACTAGATTAGTAATAACACTAGACAACCGTGGGGGAGACAGAGATAAAAAGAAAAGGAGCAGTAGAGATTACCTTCAAGAAAAATGTATGTTCTTCCACACCAGGAATATTGAAAGTATTTACCCGAGCTCCAATGCCAATCACAAGGTAGTCATAATCGACCGCAAACTCTTCTTTCCCATTCAAATTGGTGTTCAAATTAGATCGACAATATACTTTTTTGTTCTTCGCATCAATCTTGATACATTCAGCTTCACAGTAATGCATATCTACGTTTTTCTGCAGAAATTTGCTCATGTCAAGTTTTTGTGATTAGTGCATGCTTGAACATTAAACGACTCAGATTTTTTTTTGTATATTTTAGTACTACACTTCAGAAAACCTGTAACATATACTCCCTCCGTCCCCTTTTAAATGGGACGGGAGATGGTGGCACGGGTTTTAAGAAAAGTGAGTTTGTGTGGTTGATATTAATTGATAAAGTAAGAATAAAGTAAGAATGATTTTGAGCCACACAAAGTTTACCAAATAAGGTATGGGGCAATTAAATAGGGACATCCCAATATGGTAAAACGGGACATTTAAAAGGGGACGGAGGGAGTATATTCAAATATTTAATCATAAGATGCATACACTTTATGCCAATTTAGCTTCTGTACTTTACCTTTCTGATAATGTTACGAATCGGTTCAACAATGCTGCGTCCTTCAACTGTGCCACATGTTACACTTGGCAGCAAGGGAGTAAAAGTGAAGTAATTGCGTGGTGATATCACCTGAACATCATATGAGGGATCTTTCAGATTCTTCAGGAAACTAGTTCCAGCCCAACCTGTTCCAAGTACCACCACTTTTTTTTTCTTGTGAGAGACACTGGTGAGGTCTTGACTCTTGATGCTATCATGTGGCTGTGTTGCATCAGAGTATGCCACAAGGCTTCCACCACTGCCAAATAAGGATAATAACATAATGTTAAACAAATAAGTGGAAGACGGGGGGATTTAGGGATTGAAAGCACCAAAACGAAGAAAAGAGCTGAGGGATACATCTGAATACATGACTTACTTCTTGAGTAAAGAAGTCTAGTGCAAGGTCTACCAGAAGGTAGTATTTTACTGAAGCTACGCAAGACTGTTTTTATAGAAATACAACTTTTTCATGCAATGTAAAGTAGTAAAATAAAGCAATCAAGCAAAGAAGTTAACTTGATGAATATGAGTATTAATAGAAAATGTATGTATATGGTTACTCTTAACTCGCAAATGTCATAGCTAGTGATTGTTTTAACATGAGAAAACTGATCACTATTTTGGATAGCATAATCAATATGTTTTCTTGTTTTCTGAAAATAGAGACGTGAGGGAATAAAGTAATGGTTTTAAATTTGAAAAGTGCTGATTCAAACATGCCTGTCTTCTAAGTTTGTAAAACATTAAAAGTATAGACCACTTCAGTTTTCAATTTTAAAGAAAAATGAAAATCTTTGGAGTTTGTACGTGGTAAGCAGTCCCAATAGTTTTAACTAACTGTGCACATGCTATACTTAACAAATAAAAGTTTTCAAGCAAATGACAAATGTAATCGTACACATTTAAAACCATACATAGTCATGTAGAGTTGGAGTGCTAGACCATTTAACGAACAATTCAACCAGGTCAAATAGCGACCAACTGGTCTACCAGCAAACCCTTGTATTCCATCGTATGACAATTGTAGATCTAGAAACTTCATGCACATATAGGATTCAATTAATTAAGTGAATATTAGGCAAACAGTCAAAGTTTGTTCGTGCTGAGAATCGGATTCTTCTGTCCAAAACTGCAAGTACTCCGAGTAACCATTCGGATATATTTCCACATTGAACTTCGACATTTGCTGATATGAAGAAGCATCATAATGAAATCACGATAGGGGGAGTAAGTATTGAAATCACCTGATGGTGAAAACGATGAGAAGCTTAGAAAGCGAAGGATTGTCGCGGAAGGTCCGAGAAAATCTTTGAATCAGAGTTACTCGCTGCATTTTTCCCCTCAAAAAGCTGATTCCAGAACGCGCAAACGAGTTCCTCTGCAAGACTTCAGATCAGCTATAAACAGAAAACAGAAACTACACAACAAACTGCAAATTATAAATGCAGGAGTAATAAAGGAACTAAGCGAGAGATTTACCTTGAGGGAGAAGGGATGGTCAAACAAAGATGGGGGCTCAGGAGAATATGAAATGAATAGACCGATCGAGAGGCGTTAATCTCACTCCAAAATGCTGGGCCGTTACGTCACCAGTGAAGACCATTCTTTAAACTCTGCATCGCTGGCCCACGAATCTGACACGTGTACCAGAAACAGTTATATAAAAAAAAAAAAAAAAAGGATGGCACCCCATCCCTGAGGACCCCCCAACACCGACCGGACGGCACGATGGGAGGATGTAAATTGGACTATAATCACAATCTGACAGATAGAGAGTGAGGCTCTGTCCCCGGTACTTACAGAGGTCCTATGCATTTTTCAGCATAGTAACCCATCATCGTAGTTGCCGGGATTCGAACCCGAGACCTAACCCTTGTGGCACTCCCTCGCTACCAGTTGAGCTACGCCCACCGGTCCAGAAACAGTTATATGCCTAGCAATAATGGAGGCCGGGTATGACTGTTAACTGTATGAGCGATGGGGACGAGGAGTGCGGAGTTTGGTCTATAGCCCAACTTTTTATGTTAAACTCCATTGGAAAGCGAGTTTGATAACACAAGATTAGCTAAGAGCCCCTTCCTAGTTCCTAATGCTCAAATCGGCTCATTTGAAATTTATGAAAAAAGGCTTAAATGATTGGGAAAAATATTATATTCAAAATATGTTATTAATTAAATAAAGAAAAAATATAGACAAATAATTAAAATGATCCTCTACAATAACTTCAGTGAATACGATAAGAAAAATAACTACAATCTTGCTTCTTTTTATTATTACACAATTCATCGAACAAATTCAATATTTACTTGTTTAGCGAAAAAATTGGATCATAAACTTGATAAAACGAAAAATAGAGTTACCAAACGGGCTCTTAATCCAATTAAATCTATTGAGATTGACATTTTTATGAAAATTTATATTTCAACGCATGAAATAAAAAATCACGTGTTTGATAACGATAGGTCGATAGCCGATAAAACTGATGAATCAAAAACAGAAGTTTTTGTTTTGAGAATAAAACATAACTTTCATTAATTCAAAATGTCATTGTTCAACTGGCTGACAATACAATTAGGTGGGCTATATATAAAAATAATAATCATCCGACATAGAAAGGGCAGCTCGAGCAAGCTTATGAGCTACCACATTCGCGGACCTCTAACAGTACATGACTTCTATCTTAGCTTCATTACGAAGACTGAGTCCAATATCCTCTATCAAAGTACCAAAATAAGCATCTACATCTCTTCTTGTCATCCTAGACGCCACCAGTAGAGAATCTGTTTTCACGTCAACATTCTGCCAGCCTTACGCTTGAACCCATCGTATGGCCTCCCGCACTCCCATGACCTCTGGTATCCCTGCCAGCCTCCCTTTATGAAATTCCAATGCTCGTCCCTTTCCACCCATGCTCTGGCTCGCGTGTTCCTTGTCAAACCAAGTGCCGCATCAACATTAACTTGGATTCTTCCCGATCCTGGCTTCTTCCAGCGCATATATCTCTTTTCTGCGCTCAGTCTGCTTCCCGCCTTTTGAGCTTCTTGCCATCCTTTGGGGACTATCGATCCAATCTCTAAGCATTGCTGCTAGTTACCCTCCTTATTCTTCCAAAGGCTCAAAAGAGTAACAACAAAGTAGCATAAATCCTCACCCTGCAAATTTTCAAAAAACATTTCCACAGTTTCGTGTGTTTTGGAAAGTTTTTCTCAACAATGTCTACATCTAGATATTGTGCTTGACATTGTAGAGTAAAATTTACCAAAAACACATAAGACCATTCAAATAAGGATAGAGATATTGTATTTGTTGTTTTTCAATTGACTTTCTCATGTCACGTATGCATTGTTCACGTTTTTGTATTGAAGATGCTCTTAACCTGACTTATTAAGAATCTCTACAAACTTATAAACATGAATCAAGGTAAGGGTATTTTGGATATCAAAAATGTGTTGGTGGTACATCATAGCTTAATAAACATGTACTATGTGCTTGAGTAAATGTACTCTGTCTTCTACTTTGTTCATCCGTAAACGTCCATCCGTTTATCTGCCGTCCTGGTTAGTAAAACCTTTCGATTCCAAACGTGCCACTCATTTCACCACCGTGGTACTCGCCTCTTTTTTCTCTTTTATCTTCTTCGTAGGTTTAAGGTATTATCCTGAAAATGAAAACGCCGGTTAGCTTCTCTCCTGGTTTTCTCGATCTGTCGTTTTCTTTCATCCTTACAGCGTCATGGAGCGATATTTCTTGATTCTGGGAGATAACGTGTGTAGAGATTCAACTCTAACAACTTGGAAGGATGATTCACACACAAAACCCGAAAACGATTTCTGATTTCCGCGAAATAAACTATTCAGGGCTGAAGAATTTCTGCTCAAATCCTGGAATTTGTAGCTTTGCTCTGTAGTTCAAGGCTGTTGTGGGGCTCACCACCACCAAAAGCTCCTACCTATTCGGTTTTGTGGTCAATTAGGTGTCTGGTCCTTCTCCTACACTGTTCATCTTCGTTTCTAGCGTGATGAACAATTGGTTGTTCGTAAATCTGTCCTGCGATGTCGATGACGAAACATAACAGGTGGTTTGTGGCCTTCAGTTCTTCATTTTTAAAGATAATGATTATTGGACTGATAACAGGTGGTAACCTTCGGTTCTTTTCATGTTGTCATTTTCAAAATCGTGTTTGGCATATTAAAGGCACCCATCAGTCGGCAGCCTTTTTTAATACTAATTATAATGATACATAAAACTTATGGAGTATTTGTATTGTTTTTGTTATACACTTCTCATCATGTTTTGTTTCCTTGATTTTACTTTCTTTTGCTGGATCTTTTATGTAGTGTGGAAATATATAGCTTATGAAGTTTGAATCAATTTATGAATCAGAAGGCTGCAGATAAGAAGGCCATTCAGATTAGTAAATCTTTTACATTCTAAGTGATAAATTAAATATAGATGATGAATAAAATATAGACCGAGAAGCAAAGGATGATCTTCGTATATATGTACATCACATACGCTGCAAAGAAGAGTCTACAAAGGAAAGAATATTCACAGAATATATATGGAAGTAAAATACTAGCACATATGGAATAATTCTAGAGAAATCTTCTTGACCATAATAAAGCTCCACGTAAATTATGCATCAAATCTCGGTGGTCTTTTAGATGGCACTACTTATATTTTGTGACAAAATATAAGTCACGTAATACTCCCCCTCAAGTTGGAGTGTGAAGATCACGAACACCCAACTTGCCGCGCAAGAAGTGAAAACGATCAGCACCAAGAGCTTTAGTGAAAATGTCGGCTACTTGTAAACCAGTGGATATTGGTTGCGGCTGAATTTCTTGGCTGGAAACGCGTTCACGGACGAAGTAGCAATCCATTTCAACATGTTTTGTGCGCTCATGATATACAGGATTAAGGGCAATGTGTCGAGCGGCCTGATTATCACAAAATAATGAAGTCGGTGTGTCAAGAAAAATTCCAAAATCCTTGAGCAGCCACCGTAACCAAATGATTTCACTAACGGCAACCGCCATGGCCCGGTATTCGGCTTCAGCGGAGGATCGTGCCACTACAGTCTGCTTCTTAGTCCGCCAGGAAATAGGAGAACCACCGAGGGTAATGAAGTAACCGGAACTGGATCGTCGAGTAAAGGAGCATCCGGCCCAATCGGCATCACAATATCCGGCTAGATCAAAACTAGCGTGAGAAGAGAGAAAAATGCCCATGCCAGGTGAACTCTTTAAGTACCGAAGAATGCGGTGTGCGGCATCCAGATGGCTTTGACGAGGATGAGAGAGAAATTGACTTAATTGGTTCACAGAAAATACAATATCTGAACGCGTCACCGTGAGATATAACAGGCGGCCGATCAAGCGTCGATACATAGACGCGTCAACGAGGGGAGTGTCGTCCTCAATATGAAGTTTGAGGTTCTGTTCCATGGGAAAGGAGCTTGGCCGACTGCCTAGCATGCCAGTCTCGGCTAAGATGTCCAACGTATATTTACGTTGACTGAGAACAAATCCGTCGGGAGAACGAGCAACCTCGATTCCCAGAAAGTATTTAAGTGAGCCAAGATCCTTAATGGTGAATTTTTGATCAAGGTATCCTTTGACGTGAGTGATATGGGCCAGATCATTTCCAGCAAGTAATACATCGTCAACGTAAATAAGAGCAGCAGTATAGATGTCACCATGACGGTAAATAAAAAGTGAGTGATCGGCCAGGGATTGGCGAAACCCAATAACGCCAAGAGCATGCGTGAACTTCTGATACCAATTGCGTGATGCCTGTCGAAGCCCGTATAGAGATTTTTTGAGTTTACAGACACGGTGGTCGCCGGGTTTAGCAAAGCCTTGCGGGACACGCATGTAAACATTTTCATGGAGATCGCCATGCAGGAAGGCATTGTTGACATCGAGCTGATGGACAATCCAATTATTTTTTGCTGCGACCGCGAGGAGACACCGCACGGTGACTAGCTTCGCCACGGGTGCGAAAGTTTCGTGAAAATCCACGCCTTCAATTTGAGTGAAACCCTTCGCAACGAGTCGAGCTTTATATCTCTCCACATCACCGTTGGGCTTATATTTAATTTTATAGACCCATTTAGAGTCGACAATTTTCTTGCCAGGTGGTAACGGAACTAATTCCCACGTGCCATTTGCTTCTAGTGCCTGGATTTCCTTTTGCATGGCCTCTCGCCATAATGGGTCCCTGATAGCTTGAGAAAAATGTTGAGGCTCATCACGAGATGTGATGGCAGCTAAAAAAACACGGTGAGTTGGAGAAAATTTATCATAAGAAATGAATTGTGTAAGAGGATGTACCGTCGAGTAGGCCGAAGGAGTGGTAGAGGTAGAACCGGCCAAGGAGGGTGGCAATGTGATGTCAAAGTCATCCAAATGTGTAGGATGACGACGTGCTCGAGTACTCCTGCGGGTAGCAACTGCATCGTGCTGTCCAGATGGGGCCTCATCCTGAGTGTTATCTCCAGCTTCATGTGACAACGGTGGTGTATTATGCATGGAGGATGAAGAAACGGGCATATTTGTTGGAGTTATGCC